GCAGGAAAAGCTCCTCCACTTTGCGAGCGGCCAAAGCCCGCAAATGATTTTTAACTAAAAAGCTAAAATGTGAAAAATGGAACCGAAACCAAGGTAAACATGTTAAGTTTTAAAGACTATTTTCAGATGTTGTAAAGGGAAAATTATTGTTCCTTGTCATTAAATCCTAGAGGACACATTTTTCCTTCTGAGTCATGATGGTATTTTAATTAGATTACATTTTATTGGAGGCTTTTGTCTTTCTTTNTTATTTTATTATTTTATTATTTTATTATTTTATTTTATTTTATTATTTTATTATTTTATTATATTTTATTTTACTTTATTTTATTATTTTATTATATTTTATTATTTTATTTTATTTTATTTTATTTTATTTTATTTTATTTTATTAATTTACTTTACTTTACTTACTTTACTTTACTTTCATTATTATTTTATTGTATTGTATTGTATTGTATTTTATTTTATTAATTTACTTTACTCTTTACTTTACTTTACTTTACTTTACTTTACTTTACTTTACTTTACTTTACTTTCATTATTATTTTATTTTATTTTATTTCATTATTTATCTATGTCCATCTCCTTTGGCCTTGCTACTGATTGCAGGCTATAAGAGACACTGGTTTAATGGCCAACCTCATTTATGAACTGGCTGCATTTGCTTCGGGCTTGCCCCGAGGGGACTTTATTTAAAGCTTCTGATTCAGCAAAGCCATATTTGGAGAGAGGAGAGAAAAGCTCATAAACTCGAGTCTCCGTTGTTTTGTTAAGCTCTTGCAGCCAACTGGAAGACAATGGGGGTGATCTCATGATCCCCCCGGTGGTCAGGGCTGAGGAATAGTTTTCCGCTTCTGCCAGGACCGATAGCGTAAGATGTGGGTACCCACCCATGTGGTAAAAGCGACAGCTTGAACTGCAGACCCACCCTGAGCTGTGATGGGTACCTGTCAATGGCAGGAGATGAATCCCGTCAAATGTTCCCAAGATAACTTTGGGTGGGTGTCTGTTTGCTTCCTGGAGAGCCTTCATGAATGGATATTTTCCACAGATAATCAGGCAGAGGAAAAGATTAGCTGAACTGCGAGAAAGAAAGAAAAAAAAAGAGTCCAGGAAACAGATCAAAAGCGAGTCAATGAAGGGAGGCCCACACGCACACACACTCCAACACATTGTGTGGGAAGTTCACAGCACGGCTTCCATCAAAGACAATTCTTTGTCTCAAGTCACCATTTCCAGGCTGAGGAGGATGGAAAAATCAGCACATGACAAGCTGCAGGATTGTGTAGGCTACAAAGGAAGAATCCCCTGTGCAAACAAATCAAAATGGCGGGGAGTGCAGAAGTGTATAAAAGTGGCTGCCATCCTAGAATAGCCGCTTGAATTCAGCCTCTCTCTGTTGCTTCGGAGAACGCCTTTTTCTTCTGCTCTACTCCCACGTGTTGGTCAACCCATCTTTGGACCGCTTTGGTCTGGGGGTTTAGCCCTCTTTCAAATGGGTGCTAAACTCGGTTTCAAAAGTACCTTGGAAAACCGACAACGGGTCGCCTTCCTTGCAGGGCTGAGGCCTGGAAAAACGCAACTGGAATTTTGAACCGAATTAAGCATTAGCCAGGAAACACGTCCTTGGCAGAGAACAAACATGGGAAATTGTTTAAAATAGGCAGGAAATGACATGGCTGAGGAATTCTGGGAGTTGAAGTCCACAAGTCATAAAAGGGTCAAGTTTGAAGACCTCCGTCTTATACCATCCTGGTGAAACGGATGTCCATTCTTTTCTTGAAATCTTCCAGTGATGGAGTTTTAACTTTGACAACCGATTTTAAACTATTTTCCTTCTAATTTACCTGGGATGTTATTTTGATATTTTTGATGTATTTTAATTTAAACGTCTCATGAGGGGTGTTAAGGCCAAAAGATGACCCATAGGTACGTTTATAAGTAAATTAATCTATCTTCCTTAATGTTTTTCCCGTCTCAAAGAACCGAATGCTCTCAGTATCTTACTCAAAGTCAGATGTGATTTATACAATGCCATTGTATACAATGCTCTTTCAGGCCCTTTCTTGTGATTAAAATAGTGTTTCTTTTTCTTTGTGCCTTCAGCCATGCAACGTTTATAGCAGTTAAAGCAAATTACAAACAGCCACCTTTCAAGAAATTGCTTTTCTCTGTACGTGTCTGCTAACAAAGGGACAAGATCTCAGCCAATCGGTTCAGTCACCTTTGAAGTGCATCGTATTGAGTC